TAAATTAAATCGTTTCCTGTTTATGCCGTCTAGCATATTTTATGCGTACTACCTTGAGAGTTAATCAATGTTTTTTCAATAAAATCATTTTACGTATAAAATGCAGTAGATGGCGCTGTAACAAATTATTATTTTACTTGTTTACTCCAAAGAATACAGTTTTAATTTATTACAATTAACTTCTCAAAATATTACCATATAATGCTTGTAAGCGGACCAGACATTGTTATACTTAATAAGTTTAAGTAGTTCTACATAGTGTCAAACATTAAACGTGAACTAATTTCTTTAAAAAATTTACAGTTCTTACCTAATATCTACGCATCTATATAATATTTTATGTTACATTACCTTATATACACAAAAACAGTTCAAACTTAAAAAACTATCATAAAATGGAAAAATTATTATTTATGTAATCTAAGTATCCTTAACGCTTAACCACCTAGCGTCGGTCACAGTAACTCCAGGCGATATATTTTTAAGCTATTGCATAGCTTCTATCGCGGGCCTTGAGCGCGGGGACCGAATCATAGATAAATAAATATTATGTAGCAAGGACCGAATCCAGAAATTCCGTAACGAAAAAAAACCTCGCGCTCCCCACTCCGACGGGCACGGAGGTGTGGCGTTGAAAGCCGTGTATCGTCTAACGTCGTTTCAGTTCGGCAGACTTCGGAACGGTGTTTGTGTGCGTGCGACTAGACGTTTGCGTGTACACTAGCTGCTAACTCAATGATAAAAATTCCTGAATAACCTACATGTATTGTAAGATATTAAAAATATTTTAAACAATATTAACTTCTCATTTATTCAATAAGAGAAAAAAATTGTTTTCTTATCGGTCACCACGCTCAAAAAGTGTAACTTGATTTAATATCAAAGACTTAACTGCATAAATAAAATAAATAAATAATTATAATTGCATAAGTTGATAAAAAATGCTATGCAATAGCTTTACCGCGGCAGTCGCCTGCTTAAAAATGCATTTTCCTACGCGATATTTTATTTGTTGCTTAAACAGTTTTGTTTAAAAAATCTTTTCTTTTATGAAATAAAAATGTTTTGTGGTAACCCATTGAGCTATAATGTAGTACGTAAGTACATATTACTTCAATGTGGTAACCTAATATTTTTATTTATATCTCTTATATTAAGTACTAAAACTTTAAAACAATAAATTTATGATTCGCTTTAATCTTTTGTTGGTTTTCAATTAGACATTTATGTAAAGAATTCTGTGAACAACATCATAAATACATTGGGGTTTATATTCGAAGGTTGAACAGTCCTCCAAATTTCATAATCTAACATTTTCCTTATGTGATTTAATATTTCAACCTATGGGTTGTTTGGATGGTGAAATCCGAACAGTAGGCCACCAACCCCTGACATCTACCAAATTGGGGGTTTCTTTTGTCTATGAAATGTTTACAGCCTATCAAAAGTCCACTGCTAAACATAGGTCTCCTCATAGATCGTCACATAGGGGGGATAGTTGCCATAGTTGCCATACTTGGCAAGCGGGTTGGCAACCGCAGTGTTTTTTACCCGACTGCGGAGGATAATATGTCTATTAGCCTATATATGTATGTAGGTATGTTTGTTCCTTTACAGCGCTCTAGAGAACAAAAGCGTGGGCTGATTTTGATGATTCCTACTTAATTTGATTTGTCTTAAACTGTGTGTCACTAAACTGACAGTAATCAAAATTCCTTATAGCGACAACCAAACGCTATATCACTTAAAAGAAAAAAATGAGGTGACCAACTATGTCGAGTGGGTTTTTATTGATTAGGTCTTTGAAAATTATATTTAGGTGTCTTCGTTTTCATTTTGAAATACCATTTAGGTTCTATAACTATTTGAAGTTTGTTAGCGACCACCATTCTCGTTTAAATTTTAAAAACTTATAATGAAACTGTGATAAAATTCTTATATACTAGTGTAATGGGTATTGTTAGTCATTTTATTACGATGGTATTTTTAAAAACAGTGTTAACCTTGCTCGTTATCCAGCTGTTTTCAGGAAGATGCTACTGCCCAGCTCCTGGTTCAGTTACCATCTGTCGCTTCTTATCTACGACTCTCACGGGATGATATGGGGTATTGGATATTATTACACCGCCACCACACGAATTCTTTTTTTTATAGAAGAGGAGGCAAAAGAGCATGCGGCTCCCTTGATGTTAAGTGACATTTCGACATATTCGACACATTGCGCCTGAATAGTTCCTTACCTCTCCTCTAACTCTTATCATGACTATGATTAACGTATTGATGGTCGAAAAAATCGTGGCGTTTGCCGCCGCCCCCTTTCGTATGCCTTAAAACTAATTAGAAACTTTATTTATAAATATGGTATTTACATGAAAAACACCAGTAGTCCTGCATACTTGTAACTAACAGAATCATATATAATGGAAAATTTACATCGTAGGAAAGGAAAATACTTTACCTTCTTGTTTTGAAGTTCCGTAATCGGATAAAAATAGCATATAGGTTGCTCCGGGTTACTAGCTACCTACATAGAAAATTTCATGAATATCGGTTCAGTAGTTTTTGCGTGAATCTGTAATACACACAGAAAGACAGACAATCAGACAGACAGACAGACAAAAATTCTAAAAACCACTAATTTGGTTTCAGTACCTTTTACTTAGTCCCCTGGACTTGTTTTATCAAGAACTTAATAGAACTACAGACACGAATTTTCTACAGATGTATTATATGTATAGATTATTAACCTGAGTATTTACAGTTATGAGTTATGACTTATGACAGATCTTTCTATGATGTTGAAATTTTTAACCATTATCAAATTATAAAAATCTCTGCAATAACTGTTTGTCCGGCTTGGTACCCGCTTACCTATTTCTACCAAGCAATAGCACAGTTTGCATTGCTTTGACCCTGTCTGAAGGAAATACAGGCTGTGAGGTATTCCATCCTAGCCCTGCTGGGTGATATCAAACAAAACTATCAATCTATCTTATCTTATCTATAACTATCAAACAAAATACCAAGTTGTCTAAATTTTAAAACAGGTTAATTTCTTAGATTTGTATATTTTATTCTAGAAACAACATTATTTCTAAAACTTGACGGATTTACAAGAATTAGCAGTAAGATTTTGTAACTTTGGTGGGAGTTATAGTTCACTTTGAAGCGACAGTAGCCTAATGGCAGGGCGCGGACCGCGAACTCAAAAAGGTCGTGGGTTCGAATCCGTCATTCGACTACTGGCGTGAACCACTCGTAACACAAGCGATTCAAGCTTACCACGAGTGGTTAAGGGGAATATTAGTAATGTTTATAGCATTGTCAATATTCTTTTTAAATAAAAAAAAAATTAAAAAGAATTAAAATTAAATTAATTAAATTACTTCTTCTACATTAATATTGTGGCTTTGTATTGACGTTTGATATTTATATATAAATTGGTATTTTCTTAACCAACCTAAGTTGGCTTAAGGTTCAAGCTTAACAACAAGCCTCATGGACTTAAAACACTATTAAAATCAAGTAACTGATGTGGATGTCTTTAGCCAACCCCCCAATTTAAACCTACAATTAACACATCTTTGAAGGCAGTCTCCTTGCTGCCTCAGCTGGCATCGGAATCCTCGTCGTCGACATATCGAATAGTGTGCAGTTTCGTGGTCATTTAGAGAAAAAGACCGAATTGGCCTCTAAAAAGTTTGGCGTGCTCAGAGAGCGAAACAGTATTTCATGCCGGCTCATGTCTGTTCTCATCTCTGGGCCGGGGCACCACAGTGCCCGCTCCTTCTACTTGACATCATCCAGCGCAGAGCGACTTGAATTGTCGACGACCGAATTCTTTCTGATCGGTTAGATTCACTGGGAGGATTCGCTAGGGATGTTGCATCTCTTTGGATTTTCTATCGTATCTACCATGAGGAGTGTTCTAAGGAATTGTTCGGATTAGTTCCAGCCGTCAAATTTTATGAACGCACATCGCGTCAAAATGCACGAAACCATCCTCATCAACTTGATGCTTGGCGGTCCACCACTGTGCGTTTTACTAGGAGTTTTCCTCCTTGTGCAAATTTTTTTTCTGTGCAATTGTTTACTACCGGCGACTTTTCGGACCGATACGACTTAGGGACCTTCAAGAAAAGAGCTTACTACTCTATAAAAGGCCGGCAACTCCCCCCAACTCCCCTGGTGTTGCAGTGTAGTCTCTACCATCAGGTAAGCCACAGGCACGTTTGCCCCCTCTTCCATAACAAAAAAAAATGCCGGTAGTTATTGGGAGCACTAAGCTCGAAGTTGTTGATAAGTACGTTTTCACCTGGGACAAATAGTCCGACTTGGTAAGTCCAACTTCGAACGAGAAGTCAATCGACGGGTTCAATTCGGCTGGGCAGCGTTCGAGAAATTAGGACACATCTTTTCGTCAGGTATATCTGCAAACCTGAAAACTAGATTGTACAATTAGTGCGTGTTGTCAGTGATGACCTTTGGATCTGAGACTTAGTCCTTCACTGCTGGCTGTATAAGGACGCTCAAGGTCGCTCAGCGAGCTATTGAGAGGGCTATTCTCGGGGTTTCTCTGTGTGATAAACTTAGAAACGAGAATATCCGCAGTAGAACCAGAGTGACCGACATAGGCCAACGGATTAGTAAGCTGAAGTGGCAATGGACCGGCTCTGTAGCTCGGAGAACCGACAACCGATGGAGAAAAAAGGTTCTCGAGTGGCAGCCTCGTACCGGTAGGCGGAGTGTAGGGCGACCCCCACTAGAGGGAGTGACGACCTGGTAAGACATGCAGGAAGTCGATGGATGCAGGTGGCTCAGGACCGTGCCACGTGGCATTTCTTGGGGGAGATCTATGTTTAGCAGTGGACTTGTGAAGGGCTGTACTAATGAAGATGATGACGACGAAACTGAAACAAATTCCATAATTAACTTAATTTTTTTCCACGATAGTTCAAAAATAATTAAAAAATATTGTATAATGTACAAAATCTGATGTGATGGTGAGTCTGCCGATACATTTTTCCCACGAATCAGATCGGTAAGTTGTATTTACGAGCTTATGACCTTTAGAGAAAAATTTACTACCTTGAATAGTTTCACCACAATTTCTAATTTATCATAACGTTAGTCAATTATAACGTTAGTCAATTATAAATATGTAGATACTAAATAGTATATACCTATTTATATTTTATAAAATGTATTGCTGGTGAAATAAAAATTGGGATACGGAGTATAGAATGGCTGCTACATTTTTCATATTCAAGTACATTTTTCATTTCAAATCAAGGAAACTTGTAGAAATCAGTTAAATAAGATTGTTTTGTGTAATGGCCAACATGTTTATGAGGCTACTCTCTCTTTCATCTGTCCCTAACAATATAAACTAATAATAAACTTATTATCATTTTAGTTGCATGAATTTTAAAAACATAATGATCTTAACAGAGACTAGCCAAATACGCTCTCTATACACTCTTGTCTGGTATCAAGCATGAATCGGGCATCGAGCGTTGTGAATATTAAAATCATGGGGAAAATAGCGTGATGCTATGAATGTGACTGTGAGGTGTGGGTGATGAAGTAATGTTTCCTTTTCGGTTGATAAATAGGTAGTTGAGAGTTGGGTTCATAATCACTTAAATAGGATAATCTCAAGATTTTTTATTTTTAATATACTACAGTTTTATAATGTTTTAAAACTTATCCATATTACTACCTAAAGTTTGGAAGTTACATTTTTGAAGTCTTACTGTAATAATACTATACTTAATGGTACAAATGACGTAGGAAAGGCTGCTAATAAAGTTATTTTTATTCTGCTTTTTTATTTATGTTTTTCAAGAAAAATTTTGCTACAAACTGTAGAGTTCTTCTTCAAATTCCAACCAACCCGCCTATTTAATGCCAACCATTTTTTCTAACTAAAGAATCGAGAGGGAATCTATTTGACAAACGGCAAAATAAAATTACCTTTTTAGAACGATAATTGAGTATTTTATTTCATTCCTCATTTTGTTATTTGGGCAAGTCTATCGATTCTTAATAAACATTCAATATTTTTGCTGCCGGAGCAGCGTCAAAGTATTTTTAATTAGGTATTTTTTAAAATATTGGTAAACGACTAATTAATTAAATATTCTCACGTTTTTGACTGTCTGTCATCTGTCAATGTCATATCGATATATAGTACTGAATCAATGTAGTGAATCGGTATTTCACCCTAAAGAATCGAGATCGAATCTTTTTCTGTTTTATTAAGATTTATAAAATTATTTACACTTAGTTGAATGTACCCCAACTCGTAAAGAATGACAGTTTTTCAATTCAATCATTCAATGTTATCTGTACTTTATTGTATCTTTTGATATTATAAATATAAACTTTTAACGCAGATAAGAAAAAAGAAGATTTTTGCGTAATCGATCTTTAAGATTTCGATTCGAATCGATTTTAAAATGTGTAAAATTAATCGCTAGGCCGGCCATTTTGTTGACAGCTTTTCGTCATGCCGTTACTTCCGAGTTTCAGAATTTTGGTGAATAGTGGAATATTTGTGGCGGCGGAATTCTGCTAAATATCGCAAAGATCCTTTCTTACAAATGGTGGCAGCCATAAATTATGTTTATAAATTTAAGGAGTTATAAAAGTTAATATTTTGGTGTTGTATTGAGTGCAATAGCGAGCGAAGCGTGCCTGGGACGTGGGGCACCCCGACTCGGACAGGTTAGGTTAGAAGGGGATGACGGGGTCGAGTGAGCGAGCGAATAGACCCCATCGTCCTCTTCGTGGTTATGTTTTTATTAACCACACAGAAGTAGTCATCGACCGGGATTCCATCGGCTGCACCACGTTAAGTGGCGTGGGGTTTCCGTCCCCCAACTCTCTCTCTCCCCATAAATCAGGTTAAAATTGTCATAAAAATTACGAAACATAACCTTGAAATTAGATTTTTAAAAATTTATAAAAAAAAACTAAGCATGTCCGGCAGGAAGGGGAAGTAGGGGGGTGACTCTAGAACTCCTCGCTGAAGAGGTGAGTCTACGGAATAAATATAAATAATAATAATAATAATAAGTCTATATTCAAGATAAATATCGACGTTATTTTTGATATAGTTAAGTCAATCCCCAGCGTAGATGTTAAATATTTTATATAAAAATGTATTTACCAAATTCATGCAAATTATCAACAACGTGACTTTTTCTTTGCAAAATATCAAAAATAGCAAAATAATTGATAGGTTTCTATATTTCTATAGTGTATAACATAAATTTTAACCAAAAATAGACGCGTCTTTCTATTGACGATGACGTCTTGAGAATAAACCTGTGAAATGTGCAATTATCAGGATTATTTATATTATTAACACCACAGTTACTCACGGAACATGTAACCATTTCGGAAAACTATGAATTACAAAAATTAACACTATAATAGTCCAAAAAATTACGAAATATCTAGGAGCTCATTTCTTGTGTGCCGCGACTTGTGCCGACCTGTCACTGTCATTCAAAATCGGTTACAAAGTCATGAGATTTGCTATCCTTTTCTATTTTGCTATATATCCATAAGGAATTTTCTTCTCGCTATCCTAAGTCTATGCATGTGAGCAACTAGTGAAGAGTAATTATAGATTATTGATTGATTGTATAATTTTAAAAAACGTCTTATGAGAGCAGTTTATATACTTCTTTATTTTTTATTGATGCCATGAAAATGGTACGGGAAAACTTGAATTTCACACCATATTATGAATAGGTGTGCACATGCGCAGATGATAAATTATTTATAATTGTTATTAAAACTAATAAAATTAATAATATTAAAGCAAAAACTATAGACCAATACTGACCTAAAGATAAAGAATGCAAGTATGATAACATTTATGACTTTTGGCGAATGAGGCGAAATTTTTCATACAAAATTTGAAAAATTATTTATTAAAAAACTATAGGTGACAAAAATTTTGGTGGTCCTATACAAACCTAATGGCGGTTTCTCACTGCGTGTGTTATCACGCGCCGTGTCGCGCCCGCACGCGCCACGTGCAATGTGAAGGGCTTGGCGTGGCGCGTCTCGATCTCGCGCGTCAGTGCGCGGGTGCGCGCGGCGCGGCCTTTGCTTACAAGATTGAAATCGTTTATTTCGTCTTAACTCGTCGTATGTTGAGGTACTCTCATGTCTATATAGATATGGAGTGAGTGGTCTACGTTAGTACTCTTATTAATTTGTGGAGTGGTCTAATGAGACGATTGCTGAATTTTTAATATTAACGATGTCATCCACCATCGCCTTTTCTTCTTCTTTTTGTTAATTTCATTGATTGATTTTCAATGATATCCACAAAGTAAGACAAAAGCGGCTGAAGCAACAGAGATGCCTTCGTCTTCAGTGGCATTGTTCCATGGCTGGAGGTGACAATTCGACTCACACAACATCAGGTGCGCTGCGCTAAACAGACTGAGTCAGTGGCTCGGAGTTTAGGCAAGGACGCGCCGCACCGCGCCAGTTAAAACGCCTGGCGCGGCCTCGCGCATGGCGCGTGCTTGCGCGGGCTCGCGCGTGGCGCGTGCTTGCGCGCAGTGAGAAGCCGCCATAATAACGTAGACCTATCGATCAAGGTCATTTTGGTGTGCTAGATTTGCGCTGGTTGTTAAATCGCTCCTTTTCAATCGGTTGTAGTAATAACAATATGTCACACAAGATGTAAATTTTTTTAAATTATGATAATGGTGTTTAATAATAAGTTTTTACGCAGTCTAATCAGTATTTACTATTAAATTGTGAGTGAGTGACTATTAAATAAATACTACTCGGTAGACTACAACGTATATTCTACCTTGTGTTTAATACATAATATCAAAAAGTATATAATTACTACGTTCTACTTATTAAGTCATAATTTATAAATAATAACATTAGCAATCAATTTTAAACACTAATTGGTTACAAAATCGTCGACATGCTATGTGCACTTTAGTGTTATATATAGATATTATAACGCTAAATGTACTACAACTATTTATTTACCTAATCTATGTTTGTTACTGGCCACCAGCTTTAGAAAGTTAAAGAAAGTGTATGTGTCAGCACAAAATATATTTTTATTTTTAAATCCTGTTTGTCTTTTAGTTTTTAATTTATAGCTTCTTAATAACTGCAGTTTGAGTACGTTCTGAATACTATTTAATGCCTCAGTCAGATTATTGGCCATTTCATAAGGATAAGTCTGAAGTCCAACTTGATGGAGAATCTTTATTAGTATGTATATTTAGATCATAGACGTAACATTTCACCATGTCATTAACTTAGATGCTTGCTTACAATGTAATAAGGCACATGCGAATGTATTTAATCATTTCTCTGTAAGTTTTCAGTGTTATAGTAAAAATAATACAAACCTGTAAACTGTATTATTTTATTTCGCCATCGGTATTACGGTCTAAGAGCTAGACTGTTAGTTGATCTTGCACCTAAAGTTATTTAGTCAGCAACTGCGGAAGCACAGTGTAAACCAAATAAGTAGACTGAAATCTAGACAAACGGAACAGAGACTAAGCTTCTTAAGAACGGGCAAATTTGTTAACTATTTTGGTACGGTTGTCACAATATGTGAAGACAAACAAAACATTTGTTAAATAGTTTTATTATTCAGTATGGTAGAATACTTTACAAATTACTTACTCTGATAATTTTCTCATTATAATTTTTGTTTTTTAATAATTTATTGTTTCTTTTAATGGTGTGGTAAATTCTGAATCTAACATATAGTTTACTATTTCTGTTGAGGAGTTCTATCGTGAGGAGATTATCCTGTCTGCAGCGGCAGTTTATGGTAAAGTTCTAGTTTAGCAAACAAAATTAAATTTAAATACAAAGTTTAAAGTCCATGCTATTAACGGTCAAAGAGTTCCCTCGTAAGGAGACAATGCTGGCTGCATCAGCAGTTCATGATAAAAATTGTGTTAAAATATCAAAATTAAACTAACATACGAAATTTCGTGACCCATTCAAGAAGTTCTCTAATGAGGAGACAATTCTTAGCTGCAGCATCGGGTTATATCTATCATATTGCATTGTCACTGAAGTTACAGTGGGTGCGTTTGGCAGAAAAAAGCGCTAGCAAGCGCTTATAAGCGCTGAAATAGTTTTCGGCAAGGACACGATTCCTACTTCAGCAGCGCTGACACAATCCGCCATTTTGCTTATTTAATTTGTTTGTTTTGAAGTAGAGTTTATAAGTTGTTTTGTGCAATATTAGTTTTAAGTAATATAATGACATGAATAAACATATACATGTTATTAAAAATTCATGATTGGTAAGTTTTTAATATGAATGCTTTACAAACATATATTTAAATTAGGTTAGGTTCCCCCGTTAAAACTAACATCGTGTCCTGGAGGAAAATAGCTACTTACGCTTTGACAGCACTTACCACTTACGATGGCCATTTTGCTTACAAGCGCTTGCTAGCGCTTTTTTCTGCCAAACGCACCCATTGTCACTGAAGTTACAGTATGTAAAATTTCAAATCAGACATCGAAAATCGGTATTATAGTATTATTATTTATTCTGTGGTATTACATGGATAAAGGAAACTTAAAACCTTGTAAATGTCTTAAATAGGATGGTGAGAGACCTGATATCACGAATTTGGTATTTTTGGAGGTAGATAAGGTATTTGTAAGTCAAAATGTTTTATTTACTATGCAAAACGTTGATACAATTGAGGTTTAGGGGTCGAGAGGCTCGTGTGCCTCTTTTTTTAATTTTCTTATTGCAATATTTCCCAATGTAATTATTCTTTTTTAATTTGCAGCAAAAGCAGTTGGGGGCCATGGAAGGCGAGGTCAAGGAAATCCAAATGGAACTGGCGGCGATCAAGCGGGATCGATTAAAACGTCCGTCAATCTACGGAGTAAATTTTAGTTTTGAATTATTTCCCGAAATTATTTCTTACTCATCCTCCTGCCACACACTCGTCGAGTGGCATGGTAAGTAGCGAGTAAAGGAGGCGGAGATGTAGTGTGGCTACAATACTCGTCATGCCGCACGTCATGCTGCTCGTCATGCCCATCGCTCTCTGCTTTATCAGGTTTTTGGGCGCGAGTCAAAGGAGTCACAGTATGAGCGCGAGTGGCTTGCCACATAATTGCGTAAACGCAGATCGAATCGAGAGCTCGTTATGGAATCGTCGTACTATTGTGATGTACCGATGTCATCTACCATCTCCGCTGCCGTAGACGACTACGTATATTTCTTTTTTATCCCATTGATATAATTAGCTAGACTTAGTACTTAATTATACAATAGCGCACGCTGGCACAGTTTCAATAACCATTGTGTTGCTAACGCGAGCGAGCTATTGCGGAGTGTCGAGATTAGTTGCGCGAGTAGGGCATTGTGTGTGAAGAGAGCACATCGCGACAGTACAAGGAGTAGAGCGATAAGCAGTGCTAGGAGCATAGTGTGGTGGGGCCATTAGATTTCTATTGAAATAATAAAAAAATCTTGGCATTACCCTTTAGTCAATATTATAATGTTACATAGATTTTTTTTTATTTTGTTAACATTTTGATAAAGTTAAGTGTGTTCATTGTCTTCATCGTCATTTCAGTCCATTAAGTCCACTGCTGAACATCTCCCCCCAAGGAATGCGATAAAGAACGGTGTGAGCTCCCTGCATCCATGATTTCCTGCATCTCACACCAGGTTGTCACTACGTCTAGTGTTGTATTTAGTTAACTTGTAATGAGTTGACACGATTTACAAAGACATTACGTTATTGCCAAACTGACTGGAACTATCTCATTTACTCATACCTAAGCTCCGTGGGACAGAAAAAGATACGTGATCACTAGTTTGATACATAGATAAAGAGTAGCAACATCTTATAACTAGGTCCAGTGGGATAATACGTCAAAGCTTCTACTCTCCTAGTCATCCTACTTGCAAAGTTAATTCCTTATGCAAAGAGTTTTACGTTTTACTTGTTTGAGTAGAGGCCATAGACATATCTCAATGGTAGTGGTTAGAACAGGCTAAATCTAGGGGGTAAATGCAGAAGACTCTTAAGATACTAAGTCTAAGTATCCTGTTTATTATAAGTAATCAAAGGATAGGAGCAAAGATAGATAAAACGTAGTGATACTCTTTGATTACAGTGATAAGTGTTTTGCCGAGTCGCCCATTTGTATTCACTCCTAAAGTTCAGACCTAAAGCTCGAATATTATAGTCGACTGGTACTCGTACTACAATGTAGTCGAGTAACCTTATTTCATTAACGTTATTTAATAAGGTTACGCCTTCACTAGGGTTTCCTTCTGTGTTGTGGAAGCATAAATTGTACAAGGATAAACATCTAGACCCGGAACAATTATATGTAGACCACACAAATACTTGTACCGTGCGGGATTCGAACCCGCGGCTCTCAGCGCTATAACTCAACACTAAGCCACTGCGCCACTGCGCCGTCCAGTGAGCAAATTTCTGATGGTAATTGCCGACCGCTAGGCCGCGCACGTACAACTGCAACACCAGGGGAATTGCAGCCTGCAATTTGCAGGTGCGTTGCCGGTCTTTTAAAAAGGAGTAACCTCGTTTCTTAAAGGTCCCTACTAAAGTCGTATCGGTCCGGAAAAATCGACGGTGGTAAACGCTTACAAAGTAGAAAACTAATCCAGAAAGTAGAAATTTAATATAATAAGCTATCACAAAACGTGGTATAGTGATAGCTATGTATATTATGGTTGTAGTAAGAATTTTTCAGCAGGTTATTTTAATAACTATTGTTAAAAATAAAGCTTCATAACGTATAAAACATATCTATAATAATTGAAGTAATGTTTTTAACAGGAAACCCAAGATGTAACCGAAGATACTGTTTATATAACTAAGATTCAGAAGGATGTAGTTGGCAAGTACCCCGAGGTATAATAACATTTACATATTTCCTGTTTAAATTTTTTTACAATCTCAACGTTTATTTAAAGTATATTAACCAGGCCATTATATAAATAGGCCATTTTGGTTTCACTGGCCTTTTCCGCGGTAGATTACCAAAAAAAAAAACTGCAATTAGTTACTACTACATTACATAATTCTTTTCTGTCAAAACTTATCTCGATATCGAAAATTTTGCTATGTCCAAGTCTATATATAGAGCTTAATTTTAGAAAAATTAAGCTCTTTTAGACTTGGACATAGCAAAATTTTCGATATAGTAGATGTTGCCTTGAGAACTTTAATGGTCTTTCTTTACTACATGAACAAATTTTTGTATTTATTGAATAGACGATTGAAATAACATTGATGGTACTGAGAGATCAGTGACAATAGGAACACCGTTAACATTAACGCTACAAGTCCACTGCTGAACATATGCCTACCCCATAGATTGGGGGAAATTTGTTTTTATCACATCTTGATCGAAAATTGGTATTTCGACCCTACTTTCAGGGATGAAAGTGCCACATTGCCTCCCGATTCAATGACTTATTAATTTAGTACGCATGCGTCAAACTACTGTTTTTAAAAGTTAAAGGTATATGTCATGTTACATATTTAAGGTAGTATACGCATAACAGTAGGAAAGTATGATATATATATATATATATATATATATATATATATATATATACCACGGGAGTTGCAGCGTCATATTTTCCTCCCTGGGTTCGTAATATACTATTCCCTCTGTCGCCTCTTACGACAGTCACGGGATGATATGGGGTAGTTGATTTTCTTATACCGCAACTACATAGTAAAACAGGAACATTTTTTAAATATTAACGTCTAATTAGACGAGATATTTTTTATATCCCAAAACAAAGACAGGTTGTTTTAAGTTATGTGAAAAACTCTCATAAAACTTTATCGAAATATTATCTTTTTTTAGGCTCGTGTTTGCACTCATTCTGTCTAAACTCTTGATTGCGTTTGTCAAATTTTAGTTTTTATTTGGACTCACTATACTTATTTAAACTTTCAGTCCATCTCCCCTTGCAAGCATTTCTAGTGTCACTCAATTATAGGAAGAAACGCATGCGTTTAGTTTCATGATTTCCAACATTTTGAACGGCAAAATCTTGTTTGGCGCCAAAGCAATAATCTTAATTACTGTCGCCGATACATTTTTTTAATATTTTGACTGCCTCGTTGGTCTAGTGGTTGTAGTTGTGCGACTGCTGATAATGAGGTCCTGGGTTCAAATCCCGGATCGGGCCAAAACATTATTTATTGAGTTTTTCCGTCAAGAAATCCTCAGTAGTTGCCCGGAGTCAGGAAGTTGGCGGTGTCTCACCCCCGTGCCTCGGAAAGCACGTAAAGCCGTTGGTCCTGCACCTGATCTCTCTCCGGTCGTGTCGATTTACCGTTCCATCGGACTATGAGAGTGAGGGAATAGAGAGTGCACCTGTGCTTGCGTATACACTTGACACTATAATCCTGTCCTGCGCCGATAGCTTGTCTCCGTTGAGGCAGGCCGCCGTGACCGGAATTCGGTCTGTAGGAGATTATTATTACATTTTAATATCGCAGGTGGTTGAAATGCTTCGTAAAAACTAAAAGAAACTGTACTTTAAAAAAGCATTTTAATTCTTACTAGAAGGTGCATAATGCATCCACTTACCACCCGATGGACTTTGTGTTTGTTTACGTAATGATTTCTTATATTAATACAAGTACTACTTATTTAAGTAAAACTAGTTTTTACGGATTTATTGCGCACAGTATCCATGATCACCGTATTGCGAAACGATTATGAAATAATATAATCTACGCTATAAAATTTGTAAAAACTAGTTTTATCGAAACTTTTTATTGGTCGATACGACGTTGACCACGCTGACGTTTAACGTGATTGGTTCATTAGTCGATTCTCGTCGTCTATTGGTTTCGAACGTATCATTGGCTTCCGTACACTTCAGAGCAATAATTTTAATGATAACTTTTTTAATAAGTTTATTTTCGTTTATTGTTATTGTCAGCTCGTTGTAAATTTTTTTTGTATTCCTTGTTTTTAATTATTTTTGTTGTTATAATTTGAGTGTTCAGATTTTAGTCTAAATATGCAGAGAAGGAAGAATTCGGTGTTAAATAGACAATCCCAACAAATTTTCTATTCAGTGTTACATGAAAAAATTAGGTACTGCGAAAAACATGATAGACGTATATAAACAGACTGCTGAGGCGACTAATGTCTCAGTAGCTACTGTACGGCGCACCGCAACACCAGATTTTATGGAAGGCATATTACCTCTTCCTTCTTCTTAATAAAATAATCAATTCTAACCACCAGGTATACATTAAATACTTTATAGCAGATAATAAAATAACGGACATGAATATCTGCAACATTACTGTATCAAAGTAAAAGTTGATGTGTTCGAGTAAACATTTTCATAAAAGTCGCCGAAAATATTAAATTACGAATTGAAATAATAAAGGTATCCAATAATTTTGCCCGACAGTGTACCTACCTCCCACCACAGTTTATCACATATATATCTCTCTATATATACAAATCAAATGCTGTCCCTTAGTCTAGCTAAAATTCGAAAATGTCTCGATCACAGAAATCTAAATATTGCTTTATTATTTAGATTTCTGTGCTCTCGACTGATTTAGATGAATTTTTTTGTGGTGCTGTTGTCGAGATCCTGAAATCACTCCTGCGAAGCCGGGGCTGTTCGCCAGTTTCGTATATATTTAGTCTTTTCCGTTGTTGGTCTGGTCGTAATATTCGTCATAAAATTGCTAGCTTAAAAGCTGCCACAATATTATAGTGGTAGATATTGTTAGTCTAATTTTACGCCGACGGGAAGGTGTATGATCATTAGTACTCTCGTTTCATCACCGAATTAAAATAATAATATATGTTACAATATTTATATTGTTTAAAAGTATGTTTTGATATTAATATATAATAAATACTTCAGATTGATAAATTACGGGAAGATTTGATTCGAGCGAAAAATGTTGCTGACGAGGAAAGGTTCCAGAGACAGAAATACGAAATGAAACTCAAAGATTTGGAACTCAAACTTAATAGTATATGCACTACTGCGCTAGCGTCTGAAAAAAAGGTTTGATAACAATTGAATGTTTGTATCTTTAGTTTATTACTATATTAGGTTATTAGTATATTTGTTATGCTGTGTTCGTGGTTAATTGTCGGTGTAATTATAAGATTAGATAAGTTCAACTTAGACTAAGAGGTCAACCAACGAATCCAACTCTGTTGGGCAACTAGAACAACTCTTCGTGGCTGATATTCCGGACGGAAGCGCACAACTATTGCGCGTTGCCATTTACGTCTAACGTGAAACGTGGACATTTACTGCTGACCGTATGAAAAAGCTCAAAGTCACTCAGCGTGTGGTGGAAAGGGCTATGCTCGAAATTTCTATAGGTAAAAAATTCGTAACGTGAATATACGTAAAAGAACCCCAGCAACTGTCATGGCTCAGCAGTTCAGTAAGCTGAAGTGGCAATGGCCTGGCCATATAGACAGAGTATTTATTTCTAGGGAACTCCAATAGTTAATAACTTACATCGAACACATTTCTTACGTCAACAAATTACTATGTACTACCAATTATTGGCGAACACATCATTTTATAACTTTAACATATACTTTGCCTTTATGAGATTAACTTATTTTAAAATGATAACAATTTAGATAGTTGGGACAAAAGTAAGTTAAATTAAAAAAATACATTTATTAGGTTTTGTAAAAGATATAATAGCTGTTGTGTTCGACTCAGCACTGGGTGAAGTGAATCTAATGAAACACGTAAGGTATGGGATGCATGAGACGAAAGGTTTTACGAAATTTTCTCTAAAATGATGACTGAAACCTTTCATGCTTCTCCGTCGAAACTCCGATCGTTCCAGATGCGTTCGAAAAATCGTTCCAAGTACGTTATGAGTACTCGAGGTGCTCCAACACATTATGTATGATAAATTTATTGTTTCATTTTATTTAGTTTCTTTTTTTTCACCAATAAGAGAAAAATCTTTATTTTATTTAGATATTATCTGGTTAGATTACCATATTTAGTTTAGCCGCCAAATAAAGACAATAACTCTAGTTTTTTTCGCAATATGAGAATATGTCAAATATCTTTTCAATAATTGTGTTGATACCTGGAGTTGGTTACTTGGCTGTGTATAATGTGGTGTATAGGTGCACTTGGAGGCTTAAAAGTAATAAATTTTAATAATTTTGCACTGTACCAAATGCCACCCTCATTTTGGTTTAAAATTTTAAGAATAATCATAAACACTCACGCCTGTCACCCAGGGGTAGGCAGAGACTACAGACTTCCATTTAGCACGATCCTGACATCTCGCCTCCTCCACATCCATATACCTACATATACATGCTCTTCGGTTAAGGGTATTCTTAATTTGGCCCGTTTTCAATATATCGTCAATTTGGTCGATAAACTTTCGCATAGGACGTCGCTTTCCAACTCTTCCGTTCACTTCTGCAACATAAATCTGCTTTGTTACTCTTTCCTCATTCATTCTTTCTACATGAAAAGACCACCGAAGCATTTTTTTCTTAATCCTGGTCACAACATCATCTTACAAACCACACTCTTCTTTTATCACTCAATTTCTCACCCTGTCACTCAGATTCAGCCCTATACATACTTAAATTTTAAGAAATTATATAATTTTCATTTCCCTCCGTGTTAAATTAAGTTATAATTGCTCTAAACGCTTTACCCACAGTCTTCATAAAAGCATTTTTTATTTATAGAATTAGGTGTTCTGCCTTAAGGTTTCATTAATTAAATCGTGAAATTTCTTATATCTTTTAAGTATTCATACTTGCTTTAATAAATTACACCTATATATACACTTCTGTATATGCGGACCCTTATTAGATAAGAACACGTGAAAATACTGCATGTTTATGTATATAGAATGAAGAATTTTTGTTCTTTAATATTCTAATAATATAGTATCTTATATACTATACTTTCAATATTTTTACAAGTGGTAATTTATACCGTCTTCAATATAACAATTTTGACAGTAATGTGTACCGTGGTATACCGAACAGATCTATTTAATCCTATAGAGGATAAAATTGATGTTGTGTTGTGTGATTACTGCGTGTACAATACATAGATATGCAGCAGAAGTCGCAGTTGATTTACTGGCATTTATTGAAGAGTTCCGTTGTCTGTCTCCGAAACTCATCATCAGATCTTTTCGAAATTTGGACCATTTTAGAATAAACCTCTTTGAACAAAAAAAAAAAAACAATTCTGCAAATCCGTCTATATGTGACAGAGTTATGTCCGATGTGTGTATACTTAAACAAATATAATTATCCTCAATAAATCCGTCTCCTTTTTTTTTTTGGTTTAGTTTAAGATATTCATACGACATATATGACCCTGTTAATAAACCCAAAATATTTTTACTCTTAATATAAATTTTAATTTAATTCATGATTCCAATTTCTGTGATAACAAAATTTTCTTTTAGTGGTGGTTTTAAGCACCCATTCATCAGCCCATTATGCCCTTTGTGTTTTACATAAGATGACATTGGTGAAGTTAAGAAACATTTTATGACCTCTGACAAAAGGAGCGTACTGTCTATCAGTAAAATACCAAGAATAAAATATAACTAGTGGGGCGATTACGCAATTACTCTAAATCTTTTCCATATTGCGGCAAGTCCATTCCTAGCAATAGACCGTTACGTGTTCATAAAGAGGAAACAAATAATAACAAAACACAACGAACACTTCCGTATGTTGTCATTAACACGGGATATTCATATTGTTAATATACGTAGTTAATAATACTGTTTTGCTCTACCCGTATCCATCAGAATGCTCATGCTGAATCGTATGCTAAATTTGTTGCAGTGTTAGAGGCATAAAAAATAATTAAAAGGCATTTTTTACTAAATAGTGGCTGCGTGTAGTTTATTAAAACTCACGATCTAAGTTCCGTAACTACCAAGATCGAACACTTAATAAACATTGAAGGAATTTAGATGGTTAACAGTGTAATGTAAACTATTGCATTTCTACTATATTATAATATAAATTAATTACTCGACTAATGACTTTGTAATAGGAATCCCAAAAAATTGCCGACGAAGAAATATCATCCCTTAAAATTCAAGTCCGGGACGCGAAAGAAGAAATAGAGGAAATGAGAATTACTGTTCGTGAAAAGAACGAACAATTGGAGGAATATCGTTTGAAGGTTCTTTATTATAATTATATAACAATTAATCTTTATCAATTGAATTTCTACGAATTTGATATTTCATGAAGATAAATAACTTAGTGTCACCTAGTGGTAAATATTTTTAGTATCTTCAAGCTCAACAACAAGTTGAGGAATTAAGGAGACAACTAGACTTATGTGAATTCGATAATCAGCAAGTCTCAGACCAGATTCAAATAGAGATTCAAAAAATGAAGGTACAATAATAAATCAATTACGTAGAGTAAGGACTTTAATTTGCAATAAATTAAACAGAAAAATAACAATATAAGTTTAATAATAATCGATCATTTATCTATTTAAATTATACGTATAAGTTTCGCCAAAAATATTAAACATAAACACTGATTAAAATATTTGAATGTTTATTTATCAAACTATCGTGTGTTTATAGATTCAATTCCAAGAAAAGTTACAAGAACTGGCCCCTTTGCCTGACCTCTTAAAAGGAGCCCAAATTCAACTCCAAGAAGCAAAGCAGATGCAAAAATTAGCAGAGGATAGTTCACAACAATTGTCGGGTGAATTAAACCGAGTAAAAGAAAAGGTAGGTAAGAATTTTTTTTTTACATTGTAGTAAAAAAGTCACTTGTGTTGTTTTATAGAGGAAGACGAAATATATTACGAACGAGTATACGATATGGTTATCTAAAATTTGTAAACTCTTGTGTTTTCAGTTAGTTCTAGCGATAAATAATTTAAATCAAGAGAAAGCCGATAAATTCAAAATTTTGGAAGACAATGCATCACTTAAATTAACTATTGATAAGAAACACAAGGAAATTGATGGTCTATCACGACACATAGATGAGCTAAAGTTGGTATAGTAGAATATTCAAATAATAAGAGTAAACCAGTGAACGCAAATAAATTTATTGAAACAGACATATATAAAAATATAATAAATTTTAAAATATCATGCAGGTGCAATGTGTTGAGACTTGAAGAAAAATTGATACAGGAAGAAAAAAGATTCGAAGAAAAAGCAGAAGAATACAAAAAAATACAGAAAGAGTTAGAAGATGTAAAAACAGAAGATAGCAGGGCTCTTACGCGATGCAAAGAACGTTCTGAGTCTATGCGTCGCTATATGCAGACTCAGATATCTGAATTGGAGCGACAGCTGGTACAGAGTCGAGCTCAGTCTAGAGCTTGCCACAAGGAACGAGATGAGGTACGTTACATAAACTATAAAAAATCTAGAAGTAGATTTTTTGTATACACGCAATGGTTGTAATATCTGTAAATGTTAAAAAAATATCTATTATAGTTGTAGTATTAAAAATATCTGCAGGCACACATATTTTATAATACTTTATCATTATTATTACTCAATATTATATTGTTATATATAGTATTACTATTAATAATAATAATAAAGTATTTATTACCATTATATAAATTACCCTTAGGTATTCTAAGAAAAACCAGCTGCTAATAATCGTTGTTTGTAGATGTTTATGCTTTAACATGGAAATAACGATAGTTTCTTGTAAAATTTTAGAGAAAATCAAATATTTATCGTTTATTATTATCATAACTCGCCTAGTTTATAGAAAAATGTTTCAGGAGGTTAAACTTGCCTATTAGAATGAATGTAGCGCCTAATTTTATGTCGTCGCAATTTAATTTAGTTACGTCCTTTTGAGGGTGATAATAATCTGCAATGAAATAACATTGCCGAATACAGACAAATTTAGAACTATCCAAAATTCATTAAATTGACATATTGCAGGTGTAACATTATTATGTAACTAAAGACTTTTTCTTTTAGCGTTACCATATATTACTTCCATATTCTTTCTTTTTTCAGCGTAAAAAAATTGTCGGGTTAAACAATCTTTCGGTTTTTATTTAAACCTTTTGGTGTTTTACTATAAATAATTTATCGATTTAAAGTCAAAACTTTTTATTCAATTTAGGCCCGCTTTAAACTTTTATGACGTCATATTTTACACAAGTCCACAAAAACAAATCCTTCTTTGATAAGAACTTTTTGTGACATTTTGTGAACCTGTGAGTAACTGGTAAGAAATTCGGGGTATTACAAAAGTCGTTTGACAATATCATTTACAAATATATTCACTGACCTTTGATACAATGTCAAAGGTCAGTGAATATTTTTTAAATGTCAGTTTTAACAAAATACAATATAAACAGTTAGAGGACTAGCAAGTGCATAGTAAGAGTTATGTTACACATCATTGTTAAATTTAATAACTCTTACTATGCACATTATATGTTAAAATTATATGTTTTTAACGGTTTTTTTATAGGACAGGAGGCAAAAGAGCATACGGCTCACCTGATGGTAAGTGATGACCGCCGCACACGAACAACTGCAACACAGGGGGATATAATAAAGATATTAGTACTCGTAGTTACTTTGCAACCATCCGCTCAATTAAATAAAATGATATGTCTTACCTAGTTTGAAGAGCACCTCCCGCCCTCCCTCAATTTCGTGCACTAATCCCTAAAGTATCGACTTCAGACACAAGTTTGTTCCGGTACTCGGCGACGTTTTCACGAAAAATATTGGCACGGCCGTTGTATAAAGCATCACCAGTGCTGTCGTCTGCATAGCAAGGAATGTTACCGGTTTGCAACATGTCATTGATATGCAGAAGAAACAGCGTTGGTGATAGCACGCAGCCTTGTGTAACACCAGCGTTTATGGGTTTGTAATCAGAGCATGCACCGTCTACTACGACCTTGATGCTCCGATCAGCAAGAAAACTGGTGATCCAATTACACAATTTCCCGGGAAGCCCATAGAAAGGAAGCTTCGTAAAAAGCGCTTTATGCCAAACCCGACCGAAGGCTTTCGTTATGTCCAAACTAACGGTCAACGCCTCTCCCTTGGACTCTATTGCCTAGGCCCATTTATGAGTTAGATAACCCGAAAGATCACCAGCCAAGCGACCGCCACGGAAACCGTGCTGTCGGTCACTAATCAGCTGGTGATCCTCAAGGTACCGCACGAGCTGGCTGTTATTAACGGACTCCATTAATTTGGAGAACAAGGAGATTATGCCGGAGGCCTATAGTTGGACGGATTAGAACAATTAGCTTTTTTAGGGATCTGGTACACGGAAGCTGTCTTCCATGATTTCGGCACTACGCCTAGGGAGTAAACGGAAAAGACGCGTTAAAACCGGTATCAACTCCAGAGCACACGTCTTCAGCACAATAGGAGCGACGCTCGACTTGTTGACGTCCAGGGAGAAGAGTGCTCTGCACACCGCACCGCACAACAGCACAACCTGCATGGAGCACTCACACCGTGGAATTGTCGGCGTGTTCCACCCGTCATCTAGTTTGAGTTGGATGCAGAGAGAGAGAGCCCAATAGATCGACTTTGTCTCTTGCGGCATGGGCCAGTGAGTCGTCCTCCCTGTGCAGAGATGGGAAAGATGGCTGGCGGAAGTTCCCTTCGACAGCCCTGGCGAGAGACTAGAATGCAGGTGTCTCGAAGGAAGACGAACTAGATTTTCGCCAATTCTGTCAAATCACCAAATATCACGATCTATGCGGACGAGACCTTTTGTAGTACGGAGTCTGCAGCCATCTGGATGTGGTCGATCAGTCGGTCTATGTATGCATTACCGCTATGGGACCTATAGAGGCACCCGTAGACGCGGGGATGGTCGTTGCTGTCTACGCGCAGCCATAAGATGGACAGGTCCGTACCTTTAAGGCTGCCGAGGCGTCGAAAACAGATGACCTCTCTGATGTACACGCAAACTCCAGCCTGGGGCACAAAGGAGTCTTCTAATTTGTACTACGTGTGGGATAGATATGAAGTATTAGATGGAGAAGATACCTGTGTCTCGGTTAGAAAGAGCAAGGCTGGCTTCGTCGTTTTCAGATGGTAGTGGCCGGCGTTAAGGTTTGCACGAAGTCCCCTGATGTTGCAGAAATTCACGGATAGCGTGGCAGGGGGCACCTTTGACTTATTGCTCCGTCTGCCCCGAGCAGATTTAGTCTCGAATGGAATTTCGCCCCCCCTCCTAGAATACGAGGGGCAGCCTGAGCACCCACGCTCAGGAAGAGTAGGGGAGTTTGAGCGTGAATGTTCAGCGAGGGATTCTCCAGGAAGGTACCAGCACCACCGGTAGGTGCTGGTACCTTCCTGGAGTAGTGTTATATTTAACTCCGCTACCATGTTAAGGGGGGGGGGGAATCGGGCCTGCAGCCACCTGCACTTCTATTTCACGCAGGTCTTCTTGGTCGTGGTACCACCCCGGTTTGAGCCGTCCCATACGTGCAACAGCTAAGGCTGCCGCGTGACTCTACCGCTGTTATTTTAGTTATTTCCTCAACAAATTTTTAAATTTTTTTGCACTTTGATTGTTGCACTTTGTAGAACCTCTTTAGAAATTATAAATGTAAAATTTTATGATTTTACTTAAAATTACTTCTTACTTTAAGGTAATATAAATTTAGGAACCGTTAGCGTATCACAGTAACTCGTTCTACCAGCACTTAGTTTGTTAACCAGGAGATCTATAATAGTGGTCTTATTCACAACTGTGGTTATATCAACAGTATAACTGAACGCTATAGAAAAGTAGCTAGTATTAAATATTTTGGTGCTACAATTGACTAAACACTTACATGGCATGTACAGAAATCACCACTAACGGATTACAATTTTTAAGACCCTCGGACATGTCGCAACTCATAAACGTAATTAAATAAATTTTGCTGTAGAAGAACGGGGCCTCCTGCCACCAACAACAAGTATATACTAGCATGGCTTTTAAGTTCTACCGTTTACATATTTACCGGCAATTTTGAATTTGAAACTGTTCAATATTCAAATTCGTTTAAAGTCAGCATCTCAACAATTAAAAGTATGAGAATTAATGGTATTGTTTAGTCACAGAGTCGTTTTTAAAAATTAATCTTACTAAGGAAAAATCCGTGCAATAATTTTCTACAACTTTCGACGAGGACTAATACAGCTTCAGTTTTTCGTAGAGCTAACTTCTATGTTCCATGATGAAGTCCAATGTCTGAGGACTGTCGAACGCTATTTAGAATTCCAGCGTGGACATACTAATCTTAGTGATAAATCTCGTGAAGGACGTTCAAAATACGTCTTCACTGAAGATAACATTATTTCCGTGGGAAAACTAATTGGCGTGATAAATGTCATGTGACATATCGGGAGATAGAGACATTATTATGCATCTCAGGGATAACCATTCATAAGATCTTACATAAAGCGCTCGGTGTGAGAAAGCTCATTTGCCGTTGGGTCCGACGATCATAAGGCGACCCGCGTCAGATGGTGTATGAAAACTCTTCCAAGGTTCAACTGAGCAGAGTCAAATCACGTCTATGACATCATCAGTGGTGACGAATCATGGATATATGCCTACGATTCCGATTCTAAACAACTATCAACAATCTGGGTCTTCCAAGGCAAGCCCAAGCTGACTAAAGCTATTCGCTCTCGAAGCACTTCAAAGAAAATGGTGGCCACGTTCATTGAGAAAACCGGCCATGTAACGATTGTAGTTAAAGATCGTAGAACGGTTAATATAGAGTGGTATACCATAGTTTGTTTGCCACAAGTAATCGCCGCACGGAACTCTAAGCCAAAGCGACGCATCACACCATGACAACGCAAGCTCACACTGCGTTGTTCAAACGATTGAGTATTAGAAATAGGAAAATGTAGAAATTCTTGACCATCTTCCATGCAATCCTGGCGTAAGCTCTAACAATTTCTTTACGTTTCCTAAAATTAAGAAACATCTTCGTGGTCAAAGGTTCCAGTTCAGTAAATAAGCGGTCGACGCTTTCAAAAATATTGAACAAATATAGAACACGCCCACTTTGGAGTGGAATAAATGTTTTGATAACTGGTTCGAGCGAATGGAAAAGTGTATTAAGCTACGTGGTGAATACTTTGAAAAACATTAAAAAGTACTATAAGGTTCTAGTTGTATTTTTTTGGTCAAACGACAAAACTTAAAAGGCGTGCCTCGTACTCACTTAAAAGAGTGCCTCAGTAACTCTCGTACTTATGCAATATATGATATTCTAAAGAAATAAACAAGTTTGAGTTGCTGCTCAGCAAAGAAGCAATTAATTTATTATTCCTTTAAAGATCATTAAGGGATCCGTTAGCCTAGCTATGAAGCACAGCACTCAGAAAACCCGGCTATTAGGTCCTGAGTTATTCCTGAGATTCTTAATAATTATAACCAACATTCATGTAATAGGTTTGATTAGGATTTACATTTTGTTTTCACGCCGCTGTTATTCGTGTGATTCTTCCTTACTGCATTTTTTTCCCAAATGGTAACATCACCTGCACACATTATAGTCATCTGATTGCTGAGGTAAAGCGATAATCCCATCACACCAGCTATGTGTTTACCCGCGTTAAAGAACACATAGCTGACATGAAGAATTTACGCTCCGGGAAATCTGCAGTATGTAAACACGTACAAGATCGCCCTCGTCATATCATCAAATTTGATAGACCATAAATCCACGGAACACCGATTCCTTTCAAGGATGATTTGCGAGGCTATTGAAATCAAAAGACACCCTAATTTCAATAGAGAAGATGGCTTGGTACTGCCATCTGCTTGAAATCCTGTAATTAATAAAATATGATCCCAACTCATCTACTCAACTGCAAGACTTCATGAACTATAAGTTCACTTTAGCTTACTAATCCGTTGGGACATCTCCCGAACGCTGCCCAGCTACTTCTTTCTGCTCCAGGATCTTTTCATCAGTCCTCAGGGTGCGTGCGTTGTACGTTGCCAGGTTGAGCCGTCTTAAGTGGCAGCCGAACCTCCATCGGAGATTCTTAGCACCCCCTGCCCCGCCGTTAAGGACTGGGGGCCGGTATTTTTGTGTCCTTTCCCATGGTGGGTATATTGCCATAGTTGCCACGTTTGGCGAGCCGGTTGGCAACCGCAGTTTTTTTATTGATTTTTGTTGTTATCAGAAAGATGCTGCTACCCATCTCCTGTCTTAGTTTCCCTCTGTCGCCTCTCACGACACCCACGGGAAGATATGGGGTAGTGGGTATGCTTACTCGCCACTACACGGTAGATCTGAACAAAAATTTGTAATTTTTATCTGGAAGTAGCCGTGGTTAACTATGACATTGGGACGTCGAACACCTCAGTCGTCGGTAGTATAAAGTAAGTTAATATACACGATATAATCCATTAAAACTAGTTTTATTTATTTTGAAGTTATTTAATATCGTTGTTTGTTTAGATTCGACAGCGAATGCAGACACAAATAAATAATCTGCAGGAAAATTTTGAACTGGTCGAAATTAGATTCCGCGCCCTTCAGACGCAAGTAGCGTCGTTGAAAAACAATTACTCCATTATGCTCGCTGATGAAGATGACTGCTGCGATTTTAACAAGATTACCACCTGATTTATACACTTAAAATATATTTTTGTTTATTTGATAAATACATTTGAAAAACAATTTTCAGCCTTTCATTTAAAAACTAGTTGTGCCTGCGACTTCGTTCGCGTGGCGCTTATGGTTGATATTTATTGTGTTACTCAGGTACTGGAAACTCGCTTTCGATTCATGGTACACGAGTTATTCAAATTCGGTCCCTGCCGGCATAACTGAAATTGTTTTTTTTTAACATAAAACAAATGACAAACAATTGAATTTTAAGTCCACCTCGTAATAGATTACTGCAGCTCATGGATACTTGCAGTCAACTTAAAACAAAGAAGTTGTCACGTCTGAGGACATAGATGTAGCGAATTCTTCTTTGCTCTAAAAGCCTAAAACCCTCTCAAAAAGTGGACGTGTGTGCTTGAAGTATGTAGGATACTGATTTACTTTTTAATTTTACACGCATTATTTTTTGAAGAACAAGACCACCGCACTTTTGCTCCATGCATCGGGAGTAGTTAGTTGTAGTTTGAAGAGCTTCTGAAGGACTTTTACTATCGGTTTTTCACCTGCTTTCAGAAGCTCTGCTGTAATTCGACCGACTCGACCGGAGTCGAGGATGGAATTACGATTATTGTTTATATTTTATTATATTCCTATTCCCTGTATTAATTACGACAAATGTTTATATTTTATTACATTCCTATTCCCTATTATATCATTATATTCCTCTTTTAATTAGGGACCATAATGATCTCATAGATTTAAATTAAAACTTAAAATGTTGTCCACACCTTAACTGTAACTTTATGGATCATCTTCTTTAAAAATAATTTTATAAGAAATTGATTAAATAAGTTGGATGAAGTGAAGCCAATATCAGGTGATTATAGACAGCAAATTGTCTTGCTTGTGAAGTTGTGAAATGTTGTTGTGCAGGGCAAGTTACTTGAACGCATTATCAGCAGGTTATGTTCTTTTGGATTTATTTTAATTATCAACCAATGTTGAAAGGCTACTCGTCAATTCACATAAAGTAAGCAAAAGTTATTTACGCGACACACAAGAAATTTGTAATGGAAGCTATCGTCTGCAGCGAGATTTGAGGACTTGCTTGGGGGAGGTTTATGTTCGGCAATGGGCATGAGAAGGGTTTTTTAAAACATAATTATGATAGTTCAGACCAATAAAGAAGTAAAGACTGTACGCTACGAACATTTAAAGTGACACAAAAGTAAGCCTAAACTATGCTCAACTTGTTAAAAAACACTGCTGTATGACTTCATCATGCAAATCATCTTTAACAAAAGTTTGAAAAGGACGACGATTTATAACCTAAATAAAGATTTATATATAGAGAGGTTCGTGGAATAAAGCGTGCGTAAGTATAAAAAATTACTCAGAGTAAAAATGTTTATGATAACCTTGTCTTTAATAAAACAAGAATATAAAAGCGACAACTTAAAAAGTTTGCTTACCGAATCGGTATTATCATATTTAAGGGTATGAGTGATAAAATAATCACAATTAGATCGAATTTCAAATGCAGACAATTATTATACAATGAATACGCCGGCGCGAAATATATATATATATATGTATATATCCTGGTAGTGTTCGCGTAAATACAAGGTAATCATTATATATCTTGGTTCAACGGCTTAATGCTGGGTCCAGACTGAATGTATTTTGATTGATTAAACTATATACACGTCATTACTATACCTAACTATTGCGGACCTAAGTTCTATTCTGATTTTTATTTTGATTTATCTAAGAAAAAACTACATAAATACGTACTATTTTCTAATTTTTGAATTACATTGACGAATGTAGAGATCAAGGGATCCTTTTTACTGTAAATTAAGCATTCCTTAGTAGTTTTCGGGGGTGACAGCGCATCTGCATCTTGAATCCTATTCGAGGATCTAGATTATTATGTGCCACGTACACGGCATCTACTTACTATCTGATGGACTGTGTATTTATTTATTATACTTATTCTACGAAAAAAAAACATAACACAATATTTTTATACTAACGTTCTTAAGTCAGATTAGATGCAAACTATCTTTCAAATTATTGAACGCAGACCAACAATGCATTATTCATAGTGATAAATGATTACTATAATAAAATCCGTAAGGAGGATATTAGCATTAGGATTAAAGTCACCGGCGAAGCCCGTGGCAATGAGCTAGCTGGGTAGCTCGAAGAACCGAATGTTATGACTGTTATGGTCAAAAGCTAGTAAAGTAAACTCTCGCTTTCAAAATTGTAATGTATCACCATTGAATAAATAACGGCATGATAAGATGCGCATCAATTCTTCAAAACGAATTATGCAGATAGTTCCATCCATGTGTGTTCTAGTTGCTGATTGAATATACCTAGAAAAAATAAACTTCACAGCTTATATAAAACCCAAGGTTGGGCACAGGTCGATAAAGGCTATGAAGGCTATGGGCGATTAGTCCACCGAACTGCCCCAGTGTGTGTTGGTGGACTTCACATGTCTACAAGAATATACAACGTATGAAGCTGTTACAATGGGAATGACAAAGATAGAACTAACATTGAATTTGTTAAGTAGAAAACCTGATTAAATATTATGCTGATTAAGAAAATATCCTTCGCTTTCAGTGATTTATCATCATCTATTCAAATTCCGCTGTAAAAACTTCTTGTATGTTCTTTTAACCAGGTCAAATTAGATTTTTTTAAAACTAGTAATTCTGCTACAGTTCTCAGTACATTTTAGCCATTTCTACAATACCTACCTTTAAATATGGATATACGTGTAAAAGAAAAGAGAAAGAGAGGGACAGACTTCAGAGATCAACCGCACACGCACACACATATTGGACAATTTGATTGACTGCATAATATGGTGGGATTGGTTGGCACTCATTTCCGAGATTTAATATTTTTACGTCAAGGGCTTTTTGATTTTCTATTAAATTTAATAATTTACTATGTAGCAAAAGTGTTGTATATTTGATGATTTATTGATTCTTTTTGTGCACGCAAGGATGATTTAGAACAATGCTTGCGTAAATTGAGATTTAGATTATTTGTAGAGGCTTAGTCAGAAAACGAGTAATGTTGCGTGCAGAATTTACGTTTAGGTGCGTACGTAATGAGAGGCTGGCTGTCCGGCTTTGTCTACAACTCACTCGCCCTTGCTCGTGTTGAGGCCATGCCTCTCCCGTGCCTCGCGTTTAATGTCAACGCACAAGCGCGACCTTTTTCTGAAATGTACTTTATTTTTTATAAACATATAGATCTTCTACTGTAGTTCTGTCTTCGATTTATCCCGTTTTTCGGAATCGTCTTTGTTTGTTTGTTTTTAATCCGCAATAATTTTTGCAGAAATGTTAGTAGAATCTTCGATTGTTTTACTCATAAACGCTCATGTTTAAGTTCATATTGGCTAAATTCATATATGTGTTATATTTTCTATATTTTAAGTCTGTTGTGAATATTTTTGAATGGTAGATAGATAGGAGAGCGGCAATACTATCATTAACAAAGTATAAATTCATTTCGTCATAAGATTCTGATATGGAAAAGGTGTACACTGACACTAGACTTTACTGATGGCAATAACACTAAACATAGGTTAATCTACTTGTGAGACTTATTGTAGTAATAATAGCTTGCAATTTTCGAGATTTGCTCATGAGGTGTGAGTGGTCTAGCGTTACCGTTTATTGTTATTAGGAATCTACTCCTTTTTTAATTAATTTGATTGCATGTGAATAAATTTTTCAATTTACCTATTCTTGATTATTGGAGTTATTACATTTTAGTTTAACGTAATATTCATAATATTTATTGTGTGACTACTAATATGTGATAAGTAGAAAACAGAAAGTTGTAATTGCGTAAAAAAATCTTGTTTCGTGATAATGAAGTAAATGTTACAAGGATTGGCGTAAAATTATATGTATGCCGTATTGCAGTTGACTAGTCAAGTTGCATTAAAAAAAGAATTGTTTTAAGTTTTGCTTAGGAAAACTTAGAAGAAAGTAAAACGTTATGTGATTGAGAAAGTGGATGAGTTCGTGTATTTAGGATGTGTATTTAGCAGGGATGGTAGATATGATAGGGATATAGAACGACGAGTAAATGCAGGGAATAGAGAGAATGGGGCTCTACAGTCTATTATGAAGAGTCAGAATGTGTCAAAAAAAGGCACGTATGGTAATCAGTAATGCTGTGTTAATCCCTACTTTGATGTATGGAAGTGAAAGTTGGGTGTGACAGAAGAAGCACGAAAGTAGAATAAATGCTGTAGAAATGCGGTCTTTAAGGACTATGCTAGGGCTGAATCTGAATGACAGGATGAGAAATTGTGTTAAGAGAAAAATGTGGTATGCAAGGTGATGTTGTGAACAGGATTAAGAAACAAATGCTTCGGTGGTTTGGTCATGTGGAAAGAATGAATGAGGAAAGACTGACAAAGCAAATTTATATGGCAGATCAGATGTGAACGGCAGAGTCGGGAAGGGACGCCCTAGAAAAAAGTTTATCGTCTAAATTGTACCCATAACCGACCAACGTGTATGCGTAGATATATGGATGTAAAGGTGGCGGGAGAGGTATGTCAGGATCGTGCCAAATGGAAGTCCGTAGTCTCTGCCTACTCCTCTGGGTGACATATATTTTGCATAGGATGAAATCATAAACGAAGTCCGTTCATCATTTCTCATTATTACTCCAAAAATTTTTTTGTTTAATAAATTTTATGAATAAAAGTTTGTATAAAACTACTTTTACTACTTTTAACTCCTGACATGATTACGGGGAGGATTGTCCCTTTAAATCCATAAAAGCAGTTTTATTCAATATGCACTTCGTATACATTTAAAAGTCATTAAATTCCAAGTTTATTAGATAATGAATTATTTGCGGGTTAGATCTGATAATAATAGACAGTAATAAAAGAACCCCCATTTCAATAGATCTAAAAGTATTTTAGAATTATGATAGCCAAAGTTCAAGTAAGTCAAGTAGAT